TTTTTTTTTTTTGCAAATAATGAACTTGCATGATGCACTTAAAAATGCGAATAGTTACAGTAATAATGTTCATTTATGATTGATTTATCAGCAACTGATATCATGCTATTTGCGTGTTCACTGTACAGTGAACAGAATGCAATGCATGTAGAAAATACAAAATAAGTGCATTTTACTTTCTCTGTCCTGTCCTTGTATCATTCCATATGATACATCTTTCTCATCTTTCATTCATTTTTTAAACATTAATTCCAGGTAAAAAAAAAAGAAAGAGAGAGAGAGAGAGAGAGAGGGAGAAAGAAAAGAAGAAAAATGAACGATTAATCAAATCATTCCAGATTATTAGCAATATAATAAATTAAACAGGACAATTTAACAGTTAGTCTTATTCATTTGAAATCTATTTACAATAGCATTTAATATGATTTAATATGCAATATCATCTGAAATTCTCGATTACTGATAATAATTCTCAAACGAATAATTAATTACAACAATATAGCAAAAAAAAACAAAAAAACAAAAATCATGCATATTAAATATCATGATTAATAGAAAAATGTTAAATTTTATTGTGCTCAACAAACAAGAAATATGTCAATCAATTATGAGAACAAATAAGAGCATAAAAATAAATCGTCAAATCGGTGATTTATCTAAATGTGGCAATAATTTGTGAAATGATGTCATACAACAGATATGATGACTGTATACCATTCTTCATCATCTAATGCACAAAAGCAATATGCAATGCTAACATGAAATAAAAGCAATTAATCAACAAAAAAGTTTAATATATATTTCTTACACAAACGATATTTTGAATTATTATTTTTTTTTTTTTTTTTAGCAAAAATACGAAAGTTATATTTACACGTACGTGTATTTTTTTAAACCGTAATACAGTATTATTTGTTCTTGCCTTAAACAACTAACATGTATAGGCCAATATGGGATATTGATTTTACGAATATAAATCGTGAAAAAGCAACGAAAGAACCCATAAAAGAGTATGGGAACGAAGAGGGGCAGAGAGGGGAGGGAGATGGACGCGAGCGACGAGGTTTGCGTGCTGCGATCAGGAGAAGATGATGAGAGGGGAAGAGAGGGAGAGAGAGGGAGAGAGAGAGAGAGAGAGAG